CCACATTTCAAGTGCTCTGCGGCCACATGTGCCTACCATATTGTACCATGCAGATAACAGGACATTCTCATCATTCCAGAAAGTTCTGTTGGACAGATCCCTGTCTTCCTTGCTCCGGGGGGTCCTCTCCATCATAGAACATACCCTCTCCTGTATCTTCCATAACTCCTTCTCTGTCAGGGTCAGACTGCCTGAATTCAAATCCCACCTGCACACCTTAACAGCTGCAGTAACTAAGTTATTTAAACATTTTTAAAAATTAATTTTTAAAAAACCTGTATGTAGGGGCACCTTCCTGGCTCAGTCAGTAGAGTATGTGACTCTTGATCTTGGGGTTGTGAGTTTGAGCCCCACGTTGGGCATAGAGATTACCTAAAAAAAAAATAAAGTAAAATAAAATCTATATGCAGTAACAATGAATGATTCCCAAAAGAAACTGCTAAGTGGGAAAGAAAAAAGTGGTAGCTCAGAATCATCCACTTGGAGTTCATTTGTGCATTTAAAATGTTTTCTTGGAGCACCGTCTAGCTCAGCAGTTCTCAACAAGGGGCAATATCCCCTGACCAGGGACATATGGAAACACTGTTAGTTGACCACACTGGGGGTGGGGGGATGGGGAGGGAGAACTACTGGCATCCAGTGGGTGGAGGCCAGGGATGCGGCCGAACATCCTGAATGCACAGGACAGCCCATCCATGACAAAGAATGATCTGGCCCCAAATGGCAATAGCGGAGAGGTGGAAAATGCTGATCGGTGTGTTTGCAAGGACCCATCCCGTTTGGGAGATGTACACCCCAAACTAATTTCAGGGGATACATGAGAAGGAGATTGGATTGGAGGAGGTCATCAAAACCTTACTAGTCAAGGTTTATTTCTCTGTCTCTCTTTACAAACAGGGTGTATTTATGTATTGTTCGTGTAACTAAAAATTACATTAAAACAACAACAACAAAAACAACAACAAAATAGTACCAAATGTATCCAAACCAACCAAGGAAACAAAACCCTTTCTCTGACCCTTACCTCTCCCTCCAGATACGCTATGTCTCCTTCCTTCCTGTCATAGCCAGACTCCCGGGGTCTTCACCTCCTCTCTCCTTCCTCCCCACCCACCCCAGTCTGGCTTCCAGTGCCAGCCCCCTTGCAGCTCAGCCAGGCCACAGCTGTCTCTGGGTTGTTACTGAATCCAGTGAATCTTGTTATCGTAGTTGACCTCCTTTTGAGACTGCAGGGAGGGACTGTGCGACCTCCCTGAGCTTCTGGAGCCAATCTCTCTCCGCCCCCTTTCTCTGGCTGCCACCCAGGACCTGTCCAAGTTCCTTTCCTTCTTACTATCCCTCCAGTGTCATTCTTCTCAGATGCTTTGTCCCAGGCCTCTGCTCTTCCTGCATTTCAATCCAGAACCATCTACACAATCGGTGGGATACATTGCAAGTGAAAATGTGGGGTCCCTTGTTCAAAATTATTAATAATTTCGGGGCGCCTGGGTGGCTCAGTTGTTGGGCATCTGCCTTCGGCTCAGGTCATGATCCCAGGGTCCTGGGATCGAGCCCCGCGTCGGGCTCCCTGCTCGGCCGGGAAGCCTGCTTCTCCCTCTCCTGCTCCTCCTGCTTGTGTTCCCTCTCTCGCTGTCTCTCTCTGTCAAATGAATAAAATCTTTAAAAATATATATTAATAATTTCAAGATGGTGACAGTAAATCATTAAACCAAGTGTAGAGCCCTTCTGAGCATGGGGCCCCAAGGGACTATGCAGGTCAGTTGCCCACAAAGCTGGCCATGTTTCCGAATCTCCTGGGTATAATCCCCAGCCTGTCTCACTGGCCTGCTCCCCCCAACCCCATGTTCTCCACCTTGGTGGTGGCCCCACCATCGCCCAAGATCTGCTCTCTGAGGGTTATTGGGGTAAACAGAATGCACTTCTAAAGATGTCCAGGCATAAACGCCTGAAACGTATGAATATGTTGATCACATAGCAAAGGGACTTTGCAGATACGATTAAAGTATCTTACAGAGGGGCGCCTGGGTGGCTCAGTCGTTAGCGTCTACCTTCAGCTCAGGTCATGAACCCAGGGTCCTGGGATCGAGCCCCGCATCGGGCTCCCTGCTCCGTGGGAAGCCTGCTTCTCCCTCTCCCACTCCCCCTGCTTGTGTTCCCTCTCTCACTGTGTCTCTCTCTGTCAAATAAATAAATAAAATCTTTAATAAATAAATACATCAATTAAAAAAAAAGTATCTTACAGACCTTAAAATAGATTATTCTGGTATGATGGTGAATCTTATGTGTCCGCTTGGCCCAGCTACAGTGCCTGGTTATTCACTCAAACACGGACCCAGGTGTTACTGGTGGAAGCATTTTGTAGATGTGGTTGATAGTGATGATCAGTTGACCCTAACTAAAGGAGATTACCCTTGAGAGCATGAGTGGACCTCATCCAATCAGTTGAGTAAAACAGAGGCTTCTCTGGGGAAGAAGAAATTCTGCTCCTGCAGCATCTGCTCCAGCCTAATAGAATTTCCACTCTGCCCCATGGATTTGTGGCTAGCCAGCTCCTCCAAGCACAAAATCCAATTCCTTGCAAAAAATCACATATATGGTTTCACTTATTTGTGGAACATAAAGAATAGCATGGACGACATTAGGAGAAGGGAAAAATGAAGCGGGGGGAATCGGAGGGAGAGATGAACCATGAGAGACTTGGGCTCTGAGAAACAAACTGAGGATTTTAGAGGGGTGGGGGATGGGTTAGCCTGGTGATGGGTATTAAGGAGGGCACATACTGCATGGAGCACTGGGTGTTATACGAAAACAATGGATCATGGAACACCACAACAAAAACTAAAGATGTGCTGTATGGTGACTAACATAACATAATAAAATTTAAAAAATAATAAAAAATAAATGTTAAGCTCTGTAGGGTTTGTTCTGGTTCCCTGGAGAACCTTGATTGATCATCTGTGTTATCCAGGTGGGCCCAATCTAATCACATGAGCCCTTAAAAGCAGAGAACTTTCTTTGGCTAGAGGCAGGAGGGAGATGGAGCAGAATGGGAAATCAGAGAGATTTGAAGCCTCAGAGGGATTCCACTCATCGCCAGCAGAATGGAGCTGCATGGAAAGCACCAGAAGGATGCAGGCAGCTTCCACACACCAGCCCCAGCTGGCAGGAGCCAGGCAGCTCGGGCCCACAGCCACAAAGAACTGAATTCAGCCAATGCCTCTAATGAGCTTGGAAGAGGATTGTTCCGAGTAAGGGGCCCAGCCCTGCTGACATCTTGATTTCAGCCCTCACAGACCTAAGGTCCCACCCAGACTCTCACCCTACAGAAACTGTGGAATAAAAAATGTGGGTGGTTGTCAACCACACAGGTTGTGGAGATTCCTTACACCAGCAGTGGAAAACCAATCTCCTCTCTCTCCTCTCTCCTGCAAATCCTGTCCGTCTTGGTTCTCAAGTCCAAGTAAGCCTACCCAAATCCCTTTTGGTTGTACTTCCTCTCCATCCTCATGGCCCCTGCTCCAACTTAGGCTCCTCCCCAGGGTCCCTGCACCTAGCCTCACAGCCTCCCAGCCAGGGCCAGGAGGAGGGTGATGCAAAATAATAATAATAATAATAATAAATAAATAAAGGCAACATCAAAGAGTCAGTAACCAAGATTGACAACAATGTGACACAACAAATGAATAAATGCAACAAAAAGAATCAATAACACAACCATGATGAACAAAATATCAAAGTTTTAAATGAAGATGGCATCCATGTGACTGATTTTCCTTTTTGTCCCCAGGATCCAATACAGCTCATCACAACCCTGATCCTGTCTTTACTTGAAGTTTTTTTTTTTAAGATTTATTTTTTTATTTTATTTGAGAGACACAGAGAGAGAACACAAGGGAGAGGGAGAAGCAGACTCCCCACTGAGCGGGGAGCCTGATGCAGGACTCGATCCCGGGACTCCAGGATCATGACCTGAGCCGAAGGCAGTCGCTTAACCAACTGAGCCACCCAGGCGCCCCAAACACCGCTTTTAAATAGTTCCTTTTATGTTATGTGACTTTAACATCCATAAAATATTTAATAAAAATCTATATTTAAATATATTATTTATCTTGGTTACTGAGTTTTGTGTAACCTTCTTCACCCAACACACACGCCTAAATTTTGCTCTGGATTTGAATCGCAGCCTTGCTCCAGTCAGTCCCTCCCTCTCATGAATCCCAGAGGGAACTTTCTAGTACCTGGATCTGACCTGCTATCCTGTCCCATACCCTGCCTGGTTCAGTACGCCAGTGTCCAGTGGCTTTTGAGCTGATCTCTCCAGGCAAAAAGAACTCCACTTTAGAGACCTTGGAGCCCTCTGCTTCACCTGGCCTCCCAGCCTGCTCTGAGCTTTCTTCCTTCTCTCTTCTGCCCTAGAGCCTGCCACTTCTTGGAGATTTCGTTCAAGCTGCACTTCCTTGTGATCTGTGAGACTGACTCTCTTCTGCAGCCCCACAGCCCCAGCCCCAGCTCACGCCTGAGCCAGCCTCCTCCCTGGGGACTCTGCTCTCCTCGCAAGGAAGGCCCTGCCTCACACTGGGGCGGATCTTCCCAACACTCGGATGTGCGACTCTTCTTGTCACCAAAAGGCACAAGCGCTCAGAGTCCTGTAATGACCTTCCTATGAGCAGCTCCAGGCAGGGATAGTCATCCAGGAAACTCTCCAAAGCAGGGTCAGAGTTGCCCCTTGAAGACTACCTCCATCCTCCTGCGGACTCAGGGACCCAGTCTGTTTCTTTCTCTCTCTTACACTCTGTCTCCCTCTGTCCCTCTCCCTTCCTCTCACCCGTCCTCCCTCTACACACACATTCTCTCTCTCTCTCCTCCAACCGCTGCAATCTGGAAGAAATTACTCTTCTAAACAACCAGACTTCCCCAGCTTCAGGAAATTCCAAGCTGGGCAGGGGGAGGGGCCGGGCTGGGGGGCGCGCCCTGGCCATCCCCCACCCCTTCTGCGTGTCCTCTGTGCACACCCAGTCCGGGCCTCGTCCCGCCCCCACACTCTGCCCGGAGGCCTCAGCTTTTCCACCGCTGCTTTCGAGTCCTTTAAATCCTAGAGGCAAACTTTTGGGGGATAAGGAAGGCTTGGGAGGGGCCTGCGCCTTAACCCTCTCTGCCCCAGACGGACTGAGGTGGCCTGGTCGGTGACTCCGCGGCCCGTTTGGGTTCCTACCATGGCCCCCGAGAGGGGCTGACACTTCGGTCCCCGGTGCAGGTAAAGAAGAGACCCGATGCCAGGACCTGCCAGGGGTGGGGCCCGGGCTCCTGGGTCTGAGGCCTGGACCCCAGGGCCTGAGGGAGGGGGGCTTGGGAACCTCTGACTCCTGGGTCTGAACAGTAAGAAAGGTAGGAGGCAGGACTCCTGGGACCTGAGGGGGGGGGAATGTCCTGAGGAGGCGGCACTGTCGACCCGGGCGCCTGGGTCCTGGACCCCCCTCCAGGTTCCGCATGATACTTCCTTTGCCAGGTGAGAACCGCCCGGAAGAAGAAGGAAGAAGGCCTCGGAGGCGGAGGTGGGCTCCGAACCAAGGAGGGGGGGGGTCCCCCAGTCTAAGCCTGAGAGCGCGCCTGCCCCACTCAGCGAGGACCAAGAGGTAAGGGGCCGCGGGGAGCCGGGCCCCGGGGTCCCGGGTCAGGTCCGGAGGGACGCGGGACAGACGGGCAAAGGGACCGCGGGCGCTCAAGTCCGGGAGGCAGCCACGTGGCCCGAGGAAGTGCGGCGAGCCCACGGGCGGGGGTCTCCCCCTCCCGGGCCCCGCTCCGCCCACCTCGCCGCCTCCCCCCAGAGCCGAGAACCGGTCGGGCCGGGTGTGGAGCGGGCGGTTATTTCCGTCTTGGCGGGGCTGGGGCCGGAGAGGACAGAGGTGAACCAGCTGTGCCCTCCACTCCCGCAGCTGGGGCGGAGGGAGGTAGGAGGAGGGCGGCTCCGCCGAGCCTCGAGTCGCAGGGCTAGGGCCCCTCGGGGTCCCGCCCTCGCTCCTGCACGCTCTGCCCCTTGGGCGTTTGTCACTAACAACAGCCCCTCTGTAGGAGCCCTGGCCGGCTGAGGGGGTTTTTTCCTAGCATGACCTCATTGCATCAAGCACACAACTCTGCTAGAGGGAGGTTAGAGCCCTCTATTTAAGAGGACCCTGAGGTTCGAGTCACTCCGAAGTGGAGTGACTTGCCCGAGGCCCTCAGAGCTGGCAAGAAGAGGCCGCACTCAGAAACGATTTCTAACTCATTATTCTCTGTCTGGGATGGAAAAAAGGAAAGAAAGGCAAACAAACATGGTCAGGGGTGTAGGAAATCCCTGGATATGGAAACATTGTTTCCATGGGGATGCACACCCACCCACCCTATCCAAGGGGGGCTATGAACAATAGGATATCATCTTTAGACTCTCATCAGGTTTAGACTCTGCCAGGTTTCCAAAACCAGCCCCCAACATTTATTGCTGTGTGACCCAGGGCAACTTACTCTACCTCTCTGTGCCTCAGCCACCACCTCTGTAAAGCTGAGTCGTTCTGAGGATTGAATGAATTTGTTTATTTGAGTAATGCACTTAGGTCCCCTACCTGGCCCAGAATAAGTGCTTAGGACATACAACATCAGCATCGTGACTACACTTCACAAGTACCCCTAGCAAACAGGCATTCTGACTCCGTTTTTCAGTGGACTAAACTGAGGTTTAAGGTTGAGGAAGTGAGTTCAGGGTCCCACGGAAAGGAAATGGCAGGTGTGTTTGGCCAGGCACTGGAAAATGACAGTGGCATTGTGGTGTTGGTGCCCTGGTAGGGCAACAGAAGGATGGGATGAGGGACAAACTAGGGTATGGGCAGGGAGAAGAGCCAAGTGGCAGAGAGCTGTCGGGGGGGGGGGGTCAGTTCAAGAGGCAGCAGGCAGTGGAAGTGCTAAGTCTAGGCTCCGGGGTCCCACAGAACTGGCTTTGTGACCTTGGGCAAGTCACATACCCTCTCTGAGTGTGTCCTTCTCTGGGACATGGGAGAATGATCCCAGGTGGCCACTGAGCATTTTATTGAACTTTTGCTGTGTCCTGGGTATTGCCAAGACTTTACTGGCAACATCCGACCAATCTTGCAGAGACTAGGAAGTGTTACAGGAACATCCTATATTCCTATGTTCCATTTTGGAGAGGAGGAAATGAAGTCAAAAAGGTTAAGTAGCTTGCCCAAAGCCACACACACACACACACACAACCAGATGGAAACCTAGGCATTTGGCTGAGTTGTGTTCTTTTCACCTGCAACTCACTGCAGAGTAAGGCCGGGCACCGCTAGCATGGAGAGAGGGTTGTTTTTTGTTTTTGTTTTTGTTTTTCTTTTTTTAAACTGTGGATTGAGATTTATTAATGAGCAGAGGTAAGCATTTAAAAAAATAAAATAGATTAGAATTGAAAATATCTGAGTGCCTAGCATGTTGTAAGTCTTGTTTCATAAAATGTTTGTTTCCCTTGGGGGGTGGTGTGGAGAGGAGAGGTGATTGTGTGTCACGTTGCCGTTAAAATATATTTATTCATCTAGGCTGAGGTCAGAGAAGTTTGAGAAACACTACAGAGGTGGTAAATCAAGACTGGTTTTCCCAGAGAAATAAATATAAAGTGTGTGTGTGTGTGTGTGTGTGTGTGTGTGTGTGTTGGGATAGGGTAACGGGCGATCCTCAGAACACATCCAACTATAATTATTTTAAATCCTCTTAGCTTTAATTTTTCTCTGCATTATCAGTGATATTTCCCAGGGTGCTAGTTACTAAAAGAATGGTGCTGGCTGCTTTGACTTTTTCATAGGATTTTATCAAATCTTGATCTTGTTCTATAGTTATTTGAGGAAACATCCTCCCCTCCCCCCGCCCCCAGCACTAGCACTACTAATTAGCTGGCACTATTACAAATATAGTTGTCTTTAATTGAGATTTTCTATGTGCCCTGCAAGGAAGGTAGTGTTATTTTATCCATTTTACAGAGAGGAAACAGACATAGAGAAACCACATAATTTATCCCAATCATACAGCTGGCAAAGAAAGGGTGGGGCTTCAATTCAAACAGAAAGATTTTTTATTATTATTATGATAACAGTGACTGTTAAAACAAAAGTACAAGGTCATCAAAGTCCTTCCCAGAAGTTCCATAAAAACAGCCAGGTTCCAGGATATAGGCAAATGTTGGCAATTTACCATATTTACCGTAGAAGCCAGGGCAGCCATGAGACAATCGCACACCAAGTTTATAGGGGACTAGCTGCCAGTTTCAAATTTATGCCACTCTTGCTATTTTTAGAGAAATAAATAGAAAAATTTGCAAAAAAAAAAAAAGCAAAAAAAACCCCACATTATATTGTCCCTTTCAAAAGCAAATAACTCGAATTGTAAAATGTTGTACAAGTCTATAGATGCCCAGGCCCACCCTGAACCTGAATTTGAGGTTTTAGGCAGACCTGCATTATGACTTGTGGGTGCCCTAGGCAAAGCTTGCATGCATACATATCTATTTATATTTTATAACTGTGTTGGTGTAAAGACAGACATAATCCACACATTTTAAAATAAGTTAAAACCCTGTAACATTTTGGGGGGCCTCTAGAAATGTGGTGGGCCCTAGGCACTTGGTGGACAAAGTCAGCCCTGTCTTCAGGGAAGGGGCCTCGGAGAAGCTGGAGTTTCTCTGCCAAGCTTAGGAGACACTTGGAAGAGTTGGTGAAGCATGTTGCCTGTTGCCCGGCCGGTAGGAGGACTGTGATATTAGTTCTTAGTGGAATCAGCATGGCGCGCGGTGGTCACGGGCGGACCTAAATTGCAGTCTGTGACTTAGGGCCTCCGAAGACGCCGTTTCCCGCCACCATCTGCCGTCCTGTCGTTTGGGAGAGCATCCTCTGAACCGCTGTCTAGGCCCAGGGTGGGGACGTGGGCTGGGTCGCCCCCTCCGGGCGGAGGCGGCGCTGACCCGTCCCCACCCCGACCCCATCCCCGCAGATGCCGGTTCTGAAGCAGCTGGGCCCCGCGCAGCCCAAGAAGCGGCCGGAGCGCGGCGCCCTGTCCATCTCCGCGCCGCTCGGCGACTTCCGGCACACGCTGCACGTGGGGCGCGGCGGCGACGCCTTCGGGGACACTTCGTTCCTGAGCCGTCACGGCGGCGGGCC